TAAACTAATAATAAACTAATATTCTTATTTTCTTTCTTAAAGAGATTCTTTTTGTTAATGGTAATTTACTATTTTTATGTCAATGTATGAAGCATTTTTAAATAATTATAAGTAATGTTTTTATAATATTACCTAAAATCTTCAATTTCGAGTATTTCATACGATTTCTTTTTTTTAAACATGTTTTTAATGTTTCGCCTGGGAATAATGTAAATCATAGATATTTTACTTTGTAGAAATATGTCTAAAAATAAAAATATAAAGAAACTATATAAATACAAATAAAAAAATACCTACACCTAATATATTTTTATTGTTTTTATTATTAAAACCACATTAACTTTGCTATTTCTGGCAATATAAGTGCAGTAATAACACTCGACAGAAGATTCACGCTATGATTATCCAAAATTTGTTTACCACATATGTGTTTCACACCCTTTCCAGGATGTTCTACTATTCTTCCTTTTTCATTTATTCCTATGATAAAAATACAAATAATCAATTTCATTATTACATGTATATTCCTAATAATGATACAAAGCGGATATCTCACCACTATATTGCAATGTAGCTCCTAAAAATGAGTCTATTGTACTACCAATAAAACCTCCGATTCCACCAATAACAATAATTGGCCATTGTGGCACTGCTAATTGTAGTACGACTGTGTCCACAGTTATCAATACTGTTAAATAATAAGCTAAACCTACAGTTATGCCACCTAGTATAGAGACTAATAAACCTACCCAAGAAATACCACCGTTTGTTCCTATAAATATAAATGATTAATGAAATATGTAGTTTGATAATCATAAATTCCTGGATGTAAAATTTCGTACTTGACAATAACTCAGATAAACTTTTGAATAACAATGTCATTAATAAAGATTATTAGTTGCTTGCTTAATTGCTTAACTTTTATCATTCAACCGTTATATCTTTCGTTTATGAATAAAGAACTTTTAGATTTTAATGTTCATACCTCTTGGAACTCTCTTTAGTGTAGTAATAAGAAATGAATCTTTACTACCAATAACTGTTCCAATTTCTGAAGCCCAAGTGTCTCCATTGCAACATGCAAAAGCTCCTAATAAATTATAATAATTAGACATGATAAACATGTTTTTGAAGCTAAATCTATAAATCTCTAAATTTGTCACATGGTATAAGCAACTAATGAATGTACCTAAAATTCCTACTGACAGCCAAGAACTTCTATAATATTTGTCAAAATCAATTGGCTGTTCTGCATTTCCCACATCCAATAAATACAAGAGTGCTAATTGAGTTGCCATACCACCGTTGCATAATACTTGAATCCAATTTCTTTGACCACCTTCCTTAAAGTCTGCTTCAATTTTTTTCTTCTCTGTGGCACGAAACTTTGTTGCCTTAGTAGAAGAAACAAGGAATGCAAAGAGACAAGCCACATGACTAAAACTGCTAAGTGTCAGAATAAAACCCATAAATAATCCTGTAATACAATATTTCATAGTGTGATACAAACAATAATAACAAAGAAAATATTCAACATATAAACAGCAACAATATTAAATCTTAAATAATTTCATCCGCAACATTTTTACGCGCTGTAAAATTCAACAAAAATTTTGTTACCAAGAATAGCACCACTGATATCTACACTTTTTCTCCTCAAACCCCAAAATGCCATAAAAATTGGAAGCAATACAGCCGTTAACCATCTCCATGGTGATACAACCAGACGATCTGAAAAGAAAGGTTATGTTTTTCAAAACAATCAAAACATTATTGTGTTAAAAGAGCATCGAACTGTGGCCATGTGTTTAACGTACCTTCAAAGTGACTTCTAGAATCTGAATAAAAAACCGAATAAATCATATTTATAAACCAAAACATCACAGAAATTGGAATTGCACAAGCACTGAGAAGTACCGGTAATAATACATGTTGATTCTTATCATTTGTCAGTGAAACCATCATTAAAATCGCACTATAAATATTATATAAATCTACGTAATTGTTTAGCCTTGAACTTTGATAATTACATAAAATATACCAAAGTGATGATTTGTATAAAGATCTGAAGAAAATTTACGATCCCGTTCATGGCGTTGATACCAACTGTAGGACTATATGAGACCTACATATCACTATCGGTAGTGAAACATTTACGTTGATCAACAATCATCTACACATTTAAATATCTTCTTCAGTCTAAAGGTAAGATTATTATATAAAATTTAATGCTGATCTTAAGTAAAGCTTCTTCTTTATTTCAATCGATTTTAATAATTCTTTATTCAAATCATTCTCTTCAATTAGAGTTATAATTGAAACTTTTAAAATGAAATAAAAGAAGAAGAAAACTTTCAAAAATGAAATAAAGTAGATAGTATTAATTTTAAATTATTCTATTACTATAAATATATATTTTACACGATATTGTGATGCGATATGATCTATTACTATTTAACGGATCGGAAAATCGTAAGACTCTGATTTAACAATAGAACATCGCGAAACCATATTTTCTTTATGTTCGATTAAAAGTATAAAAAGGATTAAAGTTGAGTAAGATTGAAACTTAATTGTGTATTAAATTGATTTTACTGAAAGTTAAACGTATACAAGATCGTGAGACTGAGCATTGTCTGTACGAAAAACGAGTTAAGACTCGACGATTTCAGATTATTATTAAAATTTTTTATCATTAGAATCAATAATTTCATTAAATATTAGATTAATCAGATTAATATTTTTAATTTATATCATTCTTGAAAGATTAATTTCAAAACGATTTTATTTTGTTATTTTCAAATTTTATCAATCTTCATTAGAACAATTAAATAATTATCCACCATTTGAACAACACATACTAAATGAAATTCTTTTGTTAATTTTGAATTTTCATACAAAATTTTATCATATTAATTTATAATATTTAATATAGCAAAATAGTGCTTTAAATTTAACTCATTATTATTGAAAATGTTACGAACTGACAATGAGTTTTGTTGTTGGTAAAAATGAATCATACTAATTAGCTGATTATATTCTTTGGTGGTAGTGAACTTTGGAGTGGTTCGATGTGAAAATTGGAAAAGCCAGAAACAGCATTAAAAACTAACGGTCACTTCTAGGTATGAGGGATACCTTTACCTAATGTACGAGTTGAAGGTCAACTGTATGACCTTCACAACAATAAATTTTATGAATTATGAATTTATAAAATATTAGAAATAAATTTAAAACCAGTAAATCTTAATTCAGGAATGCTGCAGTAAATATTATAATGACGTTGAAAATGTTGTTTTTCATGTCCTTACAAAATTATTGCTGCTAAGAAACAGTTTCGAGTTTTTTCGGTATTACAAAAAAATAGGACATAGAATTTGGAAAATGCTGGACCGTTATATGGCACAAGAATGGCCAAAGCATTCTTAAATCTCAGTTTGAAAACAGATGGTTTCAAATTTTCGTATCGACGTTCGATTCGGAATGAAGATGCATATAAATCTTTAAATAAATACGTAAATGTTGTATAAGATATAGCATTGGGGATAGGTAAAACGACAAAAATGCATGACATAAATGAACTTTTCAAAAGGAATAGATTCTCATAAAATCTAACATAATTTTTATTGTAAAAAATATCGTAGTTTCGTAGGAAAAATAAAAATGGTACAATTAAAATGATGCAAATTTAATGAAAACGTCGGAGATTACATTTCAGATATATACAAAATGAGCTTAATTTCGATAAATGAAATCATAAGAAATACAAATGAATAGATATTTATTTGTATCTACTTATATTTATATTTCTTCCCATTTCATTTATCATTATCGATTAAATTAAGCTCATTTCCTGTGTGCTATATACATATGCGCAAAGTAAAAAGGTATTTAGAATTTAAGAGATTAATACCTATGACAAAATCTTATCATCTATACTTCTATTTAGAAAAATATACCAAACAATAAAATAATATATTCCTGTAGTAATGCAGGATACATTCCTGTAATGTTTCCAAGTAGATTAATATAGATAATAAAATTTTGTTATAGATATTGGTCTCTTAAATTCTGGGTAGTCTATTCTAGATAGCCTATAGATCATATAAAATCATTCTGATGATTTAGAAAAATTCTTTGCTTTCACAACGGTGATATATTGAAGCACATACAATTTAATAATGAGCGGCTTAATAACTGTATCCTATGAATATCCCTATATAAATATTTCTATCGAGTTTATGACTCAATAAACAGTAAATGTTAACATATAATAGTTTTAAACTGTATTTTTCGGCTGCAAAGTTACAAATCACTTATTTTTTTTTTTGCAATTTTTTTCGATTTTTATTACATTTTATTTTTATTTTATATAAATATAACAAATATGGCTACGGTTCGTGAAAAAACATTTGAAAGTAAACCGTAGATTATTGTATAATTAAATATAAACAAAATGTTTAGATCGTACAATCTATAGAGATTACCAGTCTATTTGTAATCGATAGTAATGCATAATTAAAATAAGATAAATATTAAGTTAAGAAATATTAAGCGGGATTTCCAGGAAGTAAGGAGGTAACAGTTCATCTGCCGCAATAACCAAGAAAGCAAAAAATTATGTATATGTATATAGGAAGAAGAAATTAACATTGTAAAAAAAACTTCGTAGAAAATGTTTCCTATATAAAGAGATATTTTTGTAACGTTCGTTAATATCTAACCAATATAACGCATATATACATATTATACGATAAGCTATAATATATAGAAAATATTGATGAAATTTTCATTTTAATATAGTAATTTCAATTGTTTACCATCGTTTTTGTAATCTTTTTTCCATGAAATACAAAAAGAAAAAAAAATGAAAAAGAAAGGAATAAACAATTACAATTCGATACGATTTAGAAAACATAAGTCCCTATAGCTTAATTTATATTTAAAAATCACGTTAGAATAAACAAATTTGACCTGTATTAAGTAATACAAGTCATGGAGAAACGAATTTCCCGATTCGTCTAGTTTAGTTATAATGCAAATATCTTTTCTCTATCAGTGTTTGAGAAGTATAAAATATATAAATTTCTGCTATCTCTTTATATTTTGTCATATTTATTATGAGTTAGCTATTTAATCATTATTTTTTCTTTTGTATTATATAACTATCATATAGTGTATTATATAAATATTTTATAAACAAAGTAATAATGTTACACTATTTACAAACATATGATTGAAATTTGCTTAGAAATGGAAAACTTAATACTGTGAAACATAATATTTCATTTTGTCTATTAACAGTATGAATTTGCAATTAATTCTTTTTTCTTTATGTTGTTGTGTTTATTTGAAATCTGAACTTAATAGAACAATTT